TAGGTTGGGAAGTTAGATGTCACAACACAAATGGAATTTTGGAAAGTTGGTGACAGGAAGTAACATGAATTCTGTAATTCGGTGTCTTGCATTAGATTCATTTACCAGGAATGAGATTATTAATAATATTAATAATTATGAAATTGCTCCAGAGGCGAAGTGGTTAAGCTTTTTCCTTTGACAGTGGATGATCTTGATCATGTTGCAGTCTATCTGAGCAAATGTTTTCCTCTAGCTCCAAATGTGTATTATCAAACAACTCCTTTGTGACAGCTATCGTTAATTAAGATAGGCATTTGCTAATGTATTAGCATATTGCTACTACTGGAACCTATGGGATTTCCTGAGCAAAGTTGTTACAAGGATCTAATTACAGTTTTGGGAGTTAAGGTAATTAAAAGTAGAGTATTTGGCTATTTCCAGTGACATATCTTTATGTCACAGCTGTTCAGGTAATCATGTCTCTGTAATCAGGAACTCCCCACCGGTTGAGGAGGCCATCATGTTCAGCCGTAACCTTTACTTTTATTTTTAGTCTAGATTAACTTTTCTGAATACCAAAAAAGATTTGTCTGGTTTAGATGAAGTGGGTTGGTTAATATTCTCTGTTAGGTCTCCCTCTCTGTAAAACAGCCCAGTAAAGACATTCCCCCGTGCACACACACCCTGAGAGGGTCATGACATGTAATGTGCCTGGCTAGGAAGCTAGGCTACTGGTTGCCTTTGGCCAACGCTTTCTAAAAATATTCCTATAGAGCATTCACTAAAGCAGCATTTGTCAACTTTTTTTCAGTCACGGTACCCTTTAAAAGTTGAAAAATCTCAAGTCTATAATGTCATGGATTTTAGCCAATCCCCTTTTAAAAATGAGCAATAGATTTTTTATTTAATTCTGATTATTTTAATATGGCAGGAGTTAGGAATTAAATGTTCAGAATACATAATCATTTAAAGCCCTCCTGTGCAGAGGGACCTAAAAACAAAAAGAGGACCTTTCTCTATCCGTGTACATCAGCACCAGCACTGTGCTTACCACACAGGTCCCCTTGTCATGTCTTGCCCCTGAGTGGCAGTGCAGGCAGCATATGCAGCTAATCCACCTCTGTTAGTTATCTGGAGTTTGTAATAAAACTAGTTTTTAGAAGCTTGTGACACATCCAAAAACAGGCAGGGATGCTGCCAAATAGGCTTAGTAAAATAGTATTATTTTCCCTCTAAATCTCTAAAATCCCTAATCCTGCAAGCTAGCATGTTGTAAGATTGCTGCCAGTGCAAAATGCTGTCATGTTTAGTTGCAGTGAATTGCATCAAAAGCAAAGATTTTTTTTTTTGCCTTACCCTATGTGATATATATACAGTTTATATAGCAAAAAAGTATGTATATATATATATATATTATATGTGTGTGTGTGTGTGTGTGTATGTATGTGTGTGTATGTGT